GTTGTGCCAGTACGATACTCCCAATGGTACATTTTTCTGTAAAGAAAACAATGCTTTTTTAACGGAAATCGTATGCTTCATTACGATACGCTGTGGTTGCCTTTTGCATACTCCCCTCGTCCCGCTTACCGTAAATTCTTTCTGACACGCTCTTATTTACATTATATATATAAAGAGAGAGAGAGAGAGATCGAGTTTGACTGTCCCAGCAGATACAAGTTCACTTACGTCGCTAATCGATACACGCAGCGTTACCTAATATCGTCCACTAACACAAAACTTAAACAATTTTTATTTGCGTATCGCAGTGTGATGCGATGTTTAGAATGTCTGGTGATCCTGAAGGTCAGGATTAGGTTTGGGTTAGGTCTCCGCTGCAAATGCAGAAACGTTTACCATTTCCTTCCTGTTTCGAATCGAGCTGTTTATCTTGCAAGATGAAAAAAAATTCGATGTTAAATTGCATCGTAAATTCTTTTACAATCTGAAAATCTATTTATAGTTCATTCTTCGGGCTCCCGACTATTTGTTTTCATTCGAAACGTTGACACGGATGTCGACAATAAATTCACGATTGGATCACGTGCGAAAATTCTGCCGCCGATAGAAAATCGTATTCAATGCTTCGTCAATTTGTTGCTGGAACCACGATTTAGATTTGAACGTGGCAGTGCGAAAAATTCAACTACAAATCTCACCAAGCTTACTGAATTCAAATTCAAATAATATTTGTCTCTATCGTATATTTCCATTGAGAATTTCATAGTATTCGATTCATGAATGAAAAGAGAAAATGAAATATTATATTATTTCAAATATGCGAATATTTAACGTCGCCAGAAATGCCTAATATTCCATGCAGTCTAAAATCATTACTGCACCACACGATCACGCTATATCCGGCGATCTATTCCGTGTGATAGGAAAAATAATATTTACTCTGGAAGCCATGCAGCCCGGGATATATTAGGTGTACCAATAAATGATCTGCTATTTTCTCAATGAAATGGTAGTGCACATCGGTTATAAATAAAACAAACGTTCGTACCTTCTATTTGAAAAATCGTCGTGGACAATGTGATCGCTTATTGTTAAATTGATTGAAATCTCTTATTCTCTCCGAACGAATTCGAATAAAAATTGCATGTACTTGAATCTCTTGTGCCAGGAAAAATAACAATTACTATGGAATATTTCGAGGGTACAGAAATGTTTAGAGGAATTTTTTATACTTATGTCACGCAAAAAATATTATTGTATTAGCCACAAAGAGAATACGTGCACAGAAAATTATTTATTATTGCAGATATTAAGTACAGATAATTCTTACCGTTTTCTCCATAAGATGCAATCGAAAAGCCAGTACGAATTATCTGTTCCTAAAAATATAAATTTAACGCCATTACATGTGGGTGGCAGAACACTGAAACTGTTACCAGAAATGACCGACGGATGATAATTTTGATATCATCGACTGATGGTGCTACTATGCTAATACCAAAAATGGTTTTAGCATTTTTGTGTCATCTGTTCAAAATCTGAATTATCTGTGGATAATTTTGGCGAACAGTTTGAACGTTTTGCCACTAGGTGTAAATTTATATTTTCAGCAGCACATATGTAATGCGCGCCGAATTGTAAGCATGGGAAAAGCGACAAGAATCGTTTTTACTCAATATTAAACCTTATAATAAACCATAATGAACCGTACACCTTATAATAAACCGCAATAATAAACCTTTTTTGCATGATGTAGATGCAATTGACATATTTCATGCTATTTTTCGTACACATTTTCTTTATCGTAAAAATATTTAATTTTCTCTATATTTGCAACAATAAATAGAAAGTTCCACTGAACAGTTTTGTGCCGACAAAATAGAATTTTGTTAGTCTCTAGAAAAGTTATTCTTTAGAAAAAGCTAAACAATTTCGACGATATTCAAACTTGTTTAACTTATGTCGAAGTGATAATAAAGAAAATCAAAGTATAATCTAGTTTTCCGGCATTGTTTCGATTCAAAGCATGCCAGGTAATCGGAATTCTACTATGGATCATTTATTGGTAGAGATGGGACAAAGTATAAAACAAGTATCTTGGAAAAGGAAAGCGATACATATTTCCAAATAGACTTGAATCCAGACGAGATAGATACTCTTTTGTCGGTATTTTGTGGAACGTAAACGGTACTTCCAAGCATACTCGAACTCTGGTCGAATGGATACGAATCTTTTATGAATACATTGAAGTACATATGTACAGTATTCTCTCGATATTATGTATAAGAGAAAACCTTAGTATAGGTGTTACGCCGAGACTGCGGCTCGCCGCACACTATGACGGTCCAACACATAGAAGAAAACCATATACGTATATTAGTTTGCAGAGGTTTACATCCACTAAAACTGACGCTTTAATATTGAAGTGTGCAGTTTTGTGCAGAAGTTGTGCGAAGTTTCACAAGTGGAAAATTTAGATTCCCAAAAGACTAAACTCGGGGACTCCGGTTGTAGAAATATCCGTTTTGCAGTTATTGTGGAGATATTTGCAGTATTTGCACATGAAATGACAGTGACACAGAATTTGAGTAGTATTACTGAAGGGTGCAAATCTTTCCAGCATCGAATTACAGTAAATTCTTCTTAATTGACGCTCAGATTGTACATACAAATTGACAACTTGGGATGAGGAGATACGATTATTCGAGTCTTGTGGCTCGTTTTTACAGTTACGAATGTAACTATGTAACTATTGTAACTATATCGACTACTACAAAAACGAGCCGCAAGGCTCGAATAATCGAATCTTCTCTTCCCAATTTGTCCATTTTTGTGTACATTCTGAGCGCCAATTAGGAAGAAGTAACTGTATGTATTTACAAATACGTTTTCAAACCGGGAAGTATTTATTCTACAATTCGAAAGCAGCTTGTATAAAATAATTACAATAGCGAGTATACGTAATGAAACTTTATTGTCTTTGTGCAATAATCGAAACCCATGAAACGAAACTTTGTTATTTAAGTTAAACTCAAATTCATAAGTATACAGCGTGTCTTGTTTAAGTGAGTACAGCAGGATATCTCGGAAGGAGTTATAATTATTAAAAGAATGTTCCTACAAAAGTTATTTGGTAGGATTGGCTACAACTAGTAGTATTAATTGCTTTCTTTTGGGTGTAGTAGTACAGGAGATCTGAAGGTCAACCTAATTTTCTTATATGGAAGGCTATATTTTTTTCTCCATAAAGTAAAAGCAGATACTGAAAGAAATTCAAATTCCGATATTATTCTGAGTTCGATAAAAGTAAATCGTTAGCTTATGTTTACGTCCTGTATTGGTCGACGACCAACATCCAGCAGCCGCTGCTGAGCAGCATCGATTGCGTTTGTATCAAGTTACTGCAATTATGATATTATAAACAGGGATTGAGGATTATTGCTAATGCCATAAATTATCGATTGTAATTTTCACACATCATGTAACTGTCTCTTATACACATCTAGATGTGTATAAGAGACAGTTACATGATGTGTGAAAATTACAATCGATAATTTATGGCATTAGCAATAATCCTCAATCCCTGTTTATAATATCATAATTGCAGTAACTTGATACAAACGCAATCGATGCTGCTCAGCAGCGGCTGCTGGATGTTGGTCGTCGACCAATACAGGACGTAAACATCTGTCTCTTATACACATCTAGATGTGTATAAGAGACAGATGTTTACGTCCTGTATTGGTCGACGACCAACATCCAGCAGCCGCTGCTGAGCAGCATCGATTGCGTTTGTATCAAGTTACTGCAATTATGATATTATAAACAGGGATTGAGGATTATTGCTAATGCCATAAATTATCGATTGTAATTTTCACACATCATGTAATGTCCACCATCATTGAAAATACATATTTGTAATTGTTTTAAAAATTGTATCTCAACACTTTTTAATATTTCGTCCGATATTGAGCTGCATGTGATCGTAATTCTTGTTCTTAAATCATTTACGTTTTTCGCTGAGGTCTGAAAGACTACTTGGAGGCGACCTGTATTTTCACTGATGGTGGACACGTAGAAGAATAAAAGATTATTCAACTAGGAAGTGAAAATTACAATCAATAATTTATGGCATTAGCAATAATCCTCGACCGATGTTTATAATATTATAATTGCAGTAACTTGATACAAACGCAATCGACGCTGTTCAACAACGGCTGCTGGATGTTGGTCGTCGACCAATGCAGGACGTAAACACTTTATTGAACTCAGAATAATATCGTATAAGCACTTCTTTGAATTTCTCTCAATGCCCGCTGTTACTTTCTGGAGAAAAAAATAAACCTTCCTTTAAGAAAATTAGATTACGTTTCAGATCTCCTGTACTACTCCACCCACAAGAAAGCAATTAATACTACATGATGTAGCCCATCCTACCAAACAACGTTTGTAGAAACATTCTTTTAATAACTATAAATCCTACCGAAATATCCTGATGTACTCATTTAAACACAAGATACCCTGTATATTGAACTCGATCCCACACCTACTTTTTAGGTAGTGGAAGGAAGGCAAGGAGAAAGAGAACGAGCCATCTTCCTAATCAGAATAGAATATCAGAATATTGGAATATTGTTACATATATATGTATATGCACTTAATTTAAAAATATTAGGCCAAAGAATAAGTTTAAGAACAATTAGACCTTGATAATTTCTATTGATAGTTATATTTTGTTTTTATTGTTATTTTTAGAGTATAGGTAATTTAGTATAGATTTTAGTTATGTAACGAAGTCGTTTAAGTCGGGAATCATCCAAAGCCAAAAGGCAAGGGTTAAGTGAATATAAACACAGACAAAAAAAAATATCATCTTTTTACGAAAATGAGAAAAAACGTGATATTTTAAAAACAATTTGCTCGGATTTATGGGCTCAAAAATACGATATTACTTTTATTTGAACTATTTTTGGATATCGTTTGCCGTTTGTGATTTTTAAGATCTTACGGAGAAGGACCGATTCCGATAAAAGGGTTGATTTTTTTCCTAAAGAGAGGAACAGACACGAAAAAATATGGTTAAATTCTTGGGTGAATTTATCAAACATTTGTGCGAAGTTTCATCAAAATCGACATGTGTCAGTCGCAGGTGTTCCCTTGTAATATAACGACTGTTGAGATTATCGTCTCTGACCGCGTAGTAAGATATTAATAGGCGGAATCGTCGAAAATCCGCATACTTTAAGAACTGAACGGAAACGTTCTGGAAAATTGTACATTAAATGTTATCAAAACGTAGAGACTGTTCGCCGGAAGACGGTCATTGTCCGAGGGCGATTGTAAACGATACCATCGTGCAAGAAGGCATTGCGGATGCAGCAAACAAGAGGAGCTCGTCGCTGATAGAGATCAGTTTCCAGCTTTTCCTAGCTTCACCGATAGCCGTTTGCAAAGTATGGGATTCACGAATTTCGATGAAACAAATAGCCTGTGCAGGTGAGTTCCAAGCTCGAGACGCAGCATCGTTTGTAACAAATTGACTGCAGATATTATGGCAGAATGGTGTAAGTGAAAATTCAAGCAGCAGGCAGATCGAAAGATTCGAATTAATCCAAATTGGTTTCAGGGAAAACCTCATTTCGTCCGAAAGTGAGCTGGAGGTAAGAGAACGATAAAACGGACAAGAATTTCAGTTTACCATTGATTCGATTAACTTCAATTAATTACAGCGCAAGTACATCGCATTTTCGATAGGACTTGGCACGGATAGGATCACGTTGCAACGAAGGGTAGCAATGTCGCAAAGTCAAAGAGACCTTTCGGAACAGAACTTTGCGCAGGAAATTCAGAAATTACAAGAAGAGATAGAGGTAATTATATGTTCCATAACAATAACGCCTTGTGCAATATTGTAGAGAGAGAAGCATTAAAAACAGGTCACTTGGATAACTCGTTTGTCTTCATAAAAGAAAAGAAAGTTCTAGACAAAAGTTGCTTGGTTTTAAGGGGCACATAATATGGTGATAATAACTTTGTGATGAGTGAAAGCGTAGAGGACATATGAAGGTTAAATCTATTGTTTTAAATAGGATGGTATACTCTTTATTTTAGAATCTTATACTACATAAAAAAAGGAGTAACTTTTATCTGAAGCATTTTTTTCTAGGGGCATTAGTTTTTATGATATCGAATTAACATCTTCATTAACTTAATTGACATCTTCATTAACAGAGTCAGTGTATGTATGTTAACAAAAGTATTATCGAACATCAATAATGTTATATTTGTGTCCCTCGATATCATAAAAACTAAAGCTTCTACAAAAAAAATGCTGCAGACAAAAATTACTGCTTTTTTTACGTAAAATAAGGTTCTAGAATAAAAAGTATACTATTCCATTTTAAAAAAAATAGGTCTTCTACGGCTCCATTCATCACAAAATTATTATCGCCGTATTATGTGCCACTTAAAGCCAAACAACTTGTGTCTGGAATTGTTTTTTCTTTCTATGATTAAAGACAAACGAGTTAATCAGATGAACTGTTTTAAATGCTCCAGCCTGTATAAGTAACGGGTAACGAAACCTAAATCACTGCAACCATACATTTTACCAAACATTTAATACAAATTAGCAAGGTTTTAGAATTACAAAAATGACTCCAAAAACCTGTTATCTGGTTGGGGAAATATTTTTAAAATAATTCCACGTGAATCGGCTCGATGTGAATGCAACGAGAAACAAAATTCATTTGTCTTCCAAGCGAAATTAATGCCGCGTCCTACAATATACAATATACATACATTATTTACCATACAGCTATTTTTGTCATCATCCTGGCATATAGATGATAGTATGGTAAAAGGGAACATTTGGCTTTGGAATATAATAATAGAAAATCAGAAAACAAAAAAGAGTATGAGGATTCAATAGCATTCTTAAATAAAACTTTGATTACAAAAAAATTAAAATAGTTTATTATGAAAAGTATGCAACTACGGAGATAAATGAGATTTTGCACAAGCATTGAAATATTCCCTTCGCTCAAATGGAGGAATAAAACGGACCACCAATTTAAAATCATGTAAATTTACTTCTATGAATTAAAAACTATTAATTTAAATAAAAAGAACTTATAAGTACATGTTGTAACGTCTACAAAAATATTATATTTATATAAAAGGAAAATTATGAATGTGTTCTAACATATAACAAAAATGTACATATATCATATAAAATAAACAAATTTAAAAAACATGATAGAAAAATACTGCAAGTTGAAATGTAGTTTAGTATGTTTAGAACAAAAATCCATCTCAAAATACAGTTTAAGAGCTGTAAAATCGAATGCTGTACTTACAGTTATTAACTTTTAAAATAAAAGTTTTAAAAAATGGATGAAACACCAATATAGTATTGAAACTTTGATAACGTAAATTTTGCAAATTGTTTAATTTAAATAATAACGTGATCGCGACTCTATTATTGATCGTGAAATATTATGAAAACCATTATCATACGATGCTAATTCATTGGTAGCTCTTATCTAAGAAATGTTCAGTTTTACCCTACTACTAATAAACTACTTTATAGCTTTGTTAAACATGAAATCTTTTCTTTCGAATAACAGAATCTATCTCGATATTCCCTATACACGGATAGAGAGTCTATGGAAAGATTAGAAAAGGTCCGCCACAGGTTAGACATAGTGAAAACTTGTGCGTATAAAATCTCATCCGCTGCTGAAACACTCGGTGCGGTTCTTCAGGAACAGAGAATCTCGCCAGGAATTTACATAGCCGACAAATATCTTCAGATATTGCGTTCGAGGTGTGAAAACTTATCGACGGAAATTGCTGAGATTAAGTAAGCATTTCATCACCGTTAAAAAACATTAACTAATACATTTTCCATCAGAATCAATCCTTTGAGGGTCGTAAGTCGCCATTTTGTTGGCGTTAGGCTCACGTATTCAGTTCTTAGAAGTCTAAAGAAAATTCTTTTCTCCTAGTATTTAAGACTTTCATGTATAAACCAATTTAAAGAAAACATTCTTAATATTTTCAGACGTATTTTACTGATGCACAACATCGTGATCGAAGAAGATCCGGGAGAAATATACGACGTACCTCTTCAGGCATCGCGATACCGAAATGGATCGTCTCTGAGTAACCGAACAATGGTGCGGAAATAAAGATAATTTTTAATATTCTTAAAAGAAATTAAATTCTTGAAACATTCAAAGGTTTCGTACTTGAGAGAAATCGTAATCATTTTTATAAGTCAAATCAACGATTCTCGGAAGAATTATCACTTTCAGGAACTCATTTTCAATTTGAATTTTGTATCGTGTTAAATTATCTACAAATAGTTCGTAACTATTCGTAACGATCATGTGACATGTGCATTATTCACAAATCATGAATAATTTACAACGTCAGCCAACAGGTAAAGCAGTAAAATACAATCATCACTCGGTAAAATTTAATGACGTTTCTGTATTATTTTTAATATAATCTTTACCACGAACAACAAATTTTTAATACTAATTATTGATAATAGAAACTTACATGTAAATGACTCAACTCGTTACTTTGTTTCATTAATTAATTACTGATTGACCTTGCAGATGGCAAGAAGAAGAGCAAGTATCGCAACAATTTCACGACCCTTAACTTCGCAAGATGTAACAAAGGTAATAATGGATATCTCATTCTTTGGAATAACTAAGTTAAATATGAAATATCGTATCCTGATTGTTTAAAGACAACAAAACATTTTATACTCAACATATTCGTGTTAATTGATGTTTAGGATTGTCCCAGGCAGCGTAACTCTGTCGCCGGTAGAGTCACCATAAGGAGACCGTCATGGTGCTCTGAGATGATATGGGAAAATGATAAGCAAGTTCGAAAGGAGTATGCATTAGTTTTTCATTAGTTTGAGATTGCATAAAACGTGTATAGACTCGTTCATAAATAAAAACGGTTGTTTTGCATATACTATTTCAGCAGTTCTAATAGCGTTGGCGAATTACGGGACATCAGCGAACAGATTGAATCGAGGAGGAGTTCTCGTGAAGAGAATAATAATCTTTTGAGGCATGATCAAGTCTATGATATTGACACTATGACTCGTGACGTTGTCGATAACATAAACGATGAAGATCGGTCACCATCTACATCAACGTGTCTTCTGGAATCCAGAATCATCGAAAAACAATTAGTATCATGGTAATGTCATGTCTAAACTTTAACAAAAATTTGTGCTCAAAGTGTCATATTTTGGTAGTATTTGATTTTTTGTTTTAGTGTACGAACGGTCGAACCTCTACGAATAACTAGTAATTTTCAAACATGGCGACCGGGAATCTGGTACATGTTGTTCTTTTTCCTTGGATTTTATGTAAATTATATTACATTGTCAGTTGACGGAAGCAAGGCAGGCGTGTTATAATTTGACCTTCTATATGGAGCTGCAGTATTAGAAACTTATAACGAGTGTATCGATATTTACGAGGGAAAGTAATAAAAGACCTAAACGTACAAATATATCGCATTTAATTTTTTTTCAGCTTTAATTTAATATATTACAAATTATCCACCGTTCCGATACACACGAGCGAATTATTCTTATTATAATAACGTAAGGAAAGAATACTCGAGCAATATGTTGAGTATATTTGTGGTGATTCCATATCAGGTACTACATTTGATGAATTACTGAAAAGAGAATTATGGAAGTTTAAATATAGATTTAAGCAGCGTAAAATGTAGAGAATTTTTATTTTAGAGAATCAAATTACCTATTGATAATTTTAATATAATCGTGTGTAGGCCATAAACGAATAGTGCCGTCCAGACTACCACTGGCAATGTATTGACCATCGAAACTCCAATCTAAATTCATAACCGTGTCCTCGTGGCCTTTAAGTTCAGTTAACAACGCGTTGGTTGCTAAATCCCAGACAGAGATAGATTTGTCATCACCTGAAAAACCAGAAGAACTGGATTACAGATTACATCGCATGATAAAAGTATATTATAATGTCGAATCATAAATAAATTATTACTTATAATTAAATTATATTAATATATTCTCTAAAGTATTAGAATATGTTTTACCAGCAGCTGCCAAATACTTTCCGTCCGGACTAAAGGCTAAGCTATAAATCGTCGACTGTGCTCCAATATATACCCTCAATAAATTTCCGTCATCTTTGTCCCATAATCTGACAGTCTTATCAGCAGACCCAGTCGCTAAATATCGAGCGCTTGGATGAAATTTTACACACTACAAAAGAACACATTATCCATTGTATATATAGAAGGAGCATATAACACCGACGTCTTTGGTTTTGTTTATAATATACGTACATTTATGTCTAAAAAGTGACCAGCGAATATACGTAATGGAAATATTCTATCTAATGACCATAATTTGGCAGTCCTATCATGAGAACCAGTCGCCACATATAAATTGAATACACTAAGATCCATGCACCATATAGGATAACTATGACCACTGAAACAAATAATTTTTAAATGCTACAAGATTATAATTATTCACTGTATTATCAGTATATCATTAAATAAGTGTTTTTAAACTGTACACTAAATGCATTGCTATGAAATACATGCAGGTACCTATAAATTGCAGCACATGTGTAATCATTAAGTCTCCACGCCCTCATATCTTTATCACTAGATACAGAAAGTAGTATTTCTGATTCTGGAATAAACCTTAGATCATGTACAATATCAGTATGTCCTCTAAGTATCACTGCCCCTCCTTCAGTCCTTAAAGAAAGCATATAAACTTACATTCTGTACAGATGTGAAGAAATAGTCTGTTGTAAGTGTATCTATATTTTTCTGAATTAAAAAATCGAAAAACTTACGTTCTGTCATCAGCTTCATAAAATTTATCTAAAAATGGATTATCAGAGGCAAACGAAAAGGAGGGTTCTTCATGCTTTGGCTTAATTAATACTGTTTCATTTATACCCCATAATCTAATCTCTGTAGTGCTAAATCCTACTGCTAATTTGTCCATATTTGGTGGAATTATACCGCTACTTGCACTGTAATAGTAAAAATTTTGTATTGTTCTTTCATCCTCTCTGTTCAAGCTTTAAAAAAAAACGTTAATATTTGAGAAAATATATTCTAGAATTATATTCATACGCAATTACTTTTCAATAGCATTATTCACTGCAAATATTCGTAAAGGTTGATGCGCATTATTTCGAATTAATCTTATTGCTTCTTGTAATTCTCGCATTTCACGATCAGCTCCAGTACCTGATGGTTGCTCTACATATCCATTTATTCCTATTTCACATCTTAAACCTGATTCGTCAGATCCCTCTGTGTCTGTATCAGGCACGTCCATTTTTTTAATTATTGTCAGGTGTGTATTTATTATCTAAACAATGCAATGAATAAAGTTATGTTTACAATACTTTTGTACAGTATTAATATAATACTGTTACATTACCTGCATTAATATAATGTGTCCATGCTTTGAAAGAAACTGCTGAAGACACAAATGAGCAATATCAGACATATCCACCTTATATTTTCTAGTTCTAAATGAATTTACTAACGGTCTCAGTTCAATATCTTGTACTGAAAATACACTAGACAGCTCTTCTAAAAAGTCTTTCTCAGTTTCGTTATTAAATTCATTTTGATGTGACTTTAAAAACTGAATGGCTGCTTGTTTGTTACCAGCATGTAGCATCTCTAGATACAAGTGACAAAATACAGGGTATAAAAGCCCCTTTAATTCCATTTTCAATTTATCGTTGAGTGCAATATTTACCCACATCTTTAATCTAAAAAAAATTATACATGCACTGTATTAAAATAAGAAACAAATAAATCTATTTACAAGCAGTTTGTCTCATAAAACTAGAAAATAAAATTAATCAGAAGAAAATGTGAATAAACCAGAAAACATACCGTTGATACGCTTGCTCTGCAGCAGCTACATCAATACTAATAGCACTAAAAATAATAGAGTTGTCTTGAGATGTAGCAGAGGTGGCAGTTGCATTCAGAGTCATTTCATCACTTGTTCGACAATGTATCTGATTAGTTTTACAAAATACTTCACTAGTCTGCAATCAAAGATTGAAGATGAGTAGAGGTTATATTGTGTTTACCAATTATATTTCAATATTAAATACATTTCTTGAAATAAAATTAAGAATGTAGCCTGCCTGATAGTGACGTCGTTTCAAATATGACTCAATTGTCGCATTAATTAATTCACTTTTTAATCGTTTCATCTTTTTGGAATTACACGTTGGTTACATTCAAAAGTTTTGAAAGACTCAACCATAAGAAACGTGTCAAGTTACAAAAATTGTTGAAAGTACGTTGTTTTTATAGCTATTTAAAGCATGAATGGAATATAAACATTGTTAAATATACTAATCATTTATATGAAAGTCAATTATATGAATTGAAAAAAACAATTATATGAAGTATAATTTCATCGATAAAGTAAACCGAGATGAACGAGACTTCCACCGGTATTATTCGGCATACTGTTCTCATCACTTGTTTTTTTAAGATTTCATATTTTTTAATGTGTTACTTGTAACGTATAAATCTATAAACAAACAGTTTTTGCCCGTTAATCATTGCGAAAGTATAGAGACAAAAATACACCCTTCCCAAGGAAAGTACTTGTTACCCCTGATTTACTATTTAAGCACATATCATGTATTAGAAGAGAGTTGCCTATGCATGCATGTATGATGTACGTATGTATGTACATATGTATAGCGGACCGATTTCTAAATTATGACTTATCAATCTCTTTATGAGTACAAATTTGTAAGTATAATCAGCATCTAATGGTATA